CTCTGTCTGTCTGTCTGTCTGTCTCTCTCTTCCGCCGTCGTCCTATACTCCTTTCTCCTCTTTGCCCATGTTTCCCTCTTTGCTGGATTATCTGAGAGCAAACTCGAACATTTCTAGATGCATCTGACCGCAATTACGGCGGCACCTGGACGCATCTGGCCGCGATTCTGACAAAAAGAAGTATCGGACTGCGAAATCCATCCTCTCTCTCTCTCTGTCTCTTCTGCCGTCGTCCTATTCTCCTCTTCCGTTGTTCCCCTCTTTGCTGGACTATCTGAGAGCATACTCGGGACTTCCATAGATGCGGCACCTGGATGAATCTGGCCGCGATTCTGACAAAAAGAAGTATCTGTGTGAGTATGCCCTTCGTCTCTCCCTGTGCTGAGTTGGCCGAAGGAGGCGAAAGGAAGGGAAAGGATGACGTCAACTCTTGAGAGAGCAGCAGTTGATTGGTGATGTCAGTGCGCCAGGTCAGCAGCATTGCCACACATCAGCAGCTGTATTGGGTCGAAAAGATAGCTTGTATACATTCATCATGAGGGTGCCTTGTGTTCAGGGGAAGACGGTAGGGCGCCCTACCGTCTTTCCCCGAACACAACGCACCCTCATCGCGATCAGTGTGCGTTGTGTTCGGGGGATGACGGTAGTGCAAATAACTCGTCGTGCACCGCGCTCGCTTTCACGACCAGGTTCAAAGGAGAAGTAAGGCCAACCTGTCCCCCGCGTGCATGCGTGGCCACAGGATTGGACAGGAGGAAGCGACGTATGCACGCTGTAAACGACGGTGGTCGGTTAGTAAAGGCGTTTTTTTTTTTTTTTTTTAAGGTTAAGTTGTCCTTTTCGTTTTTTGAAGGTAAAGTCGTCTTTTTTTCTTTTTTTAAGGTAAAGTCTTTTTTTTTTTTTTTAAAGCTAAAGTCGTCAATTACCGGCGGCGTGTACTGTACTGCACACAGCAATTACTATTAATGGATATATATATATATACAGTATATACAGTCGCGGCTCCCTACCTCTCTCCACCAGGCTTACGTGTGTGTGTGTATGTGTGTGTGTGTGTGTGTGTGTGTGTGTGCTGTCTCTTATACACATCTAGATGTGTATAAGAGACAGTATATATACAGTATATACAGTCGCGGCTCCCTAGATCGCTCCACCAGGCTTACGTGTGTGTGTGTATGTGTGTGTGTGTGTGTGTGTGTGTGTGTGAGAGAGAGAGAGAGAGAGAGAGAGAGAGAGAGAGAGAGAGAGAGAGAGAGAGAGAGAGAGAGAGAGAGAGAGAGATTCTGCTTTGAATTGCGGACCAACTGTTACCGAGCTTCAGGTGCTGGGAGGAGATGTTGGACATCGGTGGGCCAGTTGTCTAATGTGGAATTGAAAAAAAAAAAAAAAATGCAAATTGGCGATTATTGTGTTCCGATGTTGACGGATATATTCCGAAAATTCGGCTTTTTCTCTTTTCGGGCGAGTGGTGCAGTGAGGTCCGCCGTTGGGCCGTACCACTCATTTGTTTGGGAAAAGAGGTAAGAAGTGGGTGACGCCGTTGGGATGGACCAATCATTTGTTTGGGAGAAAGAAATGCCGTTGGGCTGTACCACCCATTTGTTTGGGGCGGGGTGGTGGGGAGTGCTGAGAGAAAAAAACTACTGGTAGGGAAAGTTTGTCCTTCGTGGCAGCAGAAGGGGCTGTGTGTGTGTGTGTGTGTGTGTGTGTGTGTGTGTGTTTGTTTAAAAAACAAGAAAAAAAAGGGGGGAAAAAATGGACCGGTACAGATAAGGGCAAAAGTAGAATTTCCCCTGGGTGCCAAGTCCCACTAGCAGCGTTCAGTTTCCGCAACGCCTGAATCTGGACTTGCTTGTGGAGAAAATACAAGACTGCAGAAATAAAGGAAAACAGGAGAACTGCTGTAGTGCTACCCCTGCAGTTTTTTTGGGATGGTAGATTGACTAAGGCCAGCGCAAACACTGGATGTGGACAATAGGCTGTAGACAGACTATAGGCAGAGGAGAGGTTGGCCGAAGACCCTAGCACCGTCTTCCCCGGATCATAAATTCATAATGCATATGCGTGGTATTCGAGTTTTTTTTTTTTTGGTTAAATTCGAAAAGTCGAAAATTCGAACAGAACGCCATCTGCGTTGTATTTAAAAAATCGGTGTTGTTAAAATGACAAAATCAGGGTTGTTTCGAAGACAACGCATGTGCTTTGTATTCGAATAGAAAGCCATCTATGCGTTGTATTCGTTTACAACGCATATGCGTAATGTTCGGGGCAGCCGGGTAATACCACCCATCCGGGAAGATCCAGCTGACTATCTCAATTGGTTGGCACCAAGCATACGGCAGGGGGGCATGGGAATTGAACCCATGATCTCCTGAATGCCACTTGCATGCCTAACTAGGTGAGCTACCGTCTTCCTCCGAATACAACGTACGGTCATTATTGCTGTACTTGGCGTATCTTTCAGTCTAAATACAGCTATATAATGACCGTACGTTGTATTCGGGCGAAGAAGGCAGACAGCCGACGGCTGGCCGCTCTGCAGCCTGCCCAGTAGGGCCGACCGGTTGGCGGTCTGCCGACTGGTCGCAAAAATACGTTAAAAATGGTGGACTTACGTACACGTAAAATGCTGAGCAGTGGAGCCAGGCCGTCGGTCTTTGTTGTTCAGAACTATGACGGTATCAATGAGACGCTAAGAATCAAACGGGAAAAAAAAAAAAGGAAGAAGAACATGAATAAAAAAGAGGAATCAACTTCTCATAGCATTAAAAAAAAAAAGGATATTGCTCCACAACACATGAAGTGTAAATAAAGCGAATTCATCTTCGCACAGAATCTTGGCCCTTTCTGTGGGAAGATGCATCCCTTTTTTTTTTTTTTTTTGGGTTCGTTTTGCGCGCCGTGTGGCAAGGCCCCTAGGGATTCGCTGCACTGTGCACAAAACGTGTTAAAGTGTGAGGGAATCTTCACCGAGAATAGAGTTAAATTCTATAATTACATATGGTCAAAGTTTATACTAACTTTATAGTGAATTGGAATAACTAAACAATTCGACTTTGGGCTTTTTTTTTCCTTAGAAGATAAAAAGCTAATTTCCAGTAAAATCATTTTGATTAGAATGAATTAAAAAAATATATATATTTTCTTGTTAACTATAAATAAAACGTGGACCCAGATCGATAACTCTCAATCCCCATGTGACCAGCATCGGACTTCCCCTGTTCCCCATCTCCCCCCCCCTTTCCTCATTCAATAGTGGAACTTAGCTTGTATGGGGCCTAATGGAAAATGCTGTGTGAGGGGATACCAATGGGCCTAGCTCAGTTGGGGCACACCCATGAACTGTTGAAATACAGACCCAAGTTCGAACCCAGATGCCATCAGATGACCAGAATCATATAATTATGAATCGTTGGGGCAGGTCACTTCAACGTTGATATCTTTTTTTTTTTTTAGTGTGACCCGATGGGTCACGGATCACATATTAAACTGATCAGAACAGATACGCTGCACTTGATTTTTTTTATTTTTTTTTTGGCACTTGATCTTAGCCAAAAATGCCGTGAAAAGACCGTCGCCCTTTAAACCAAAAAAAGAAAAATTACAGTGAGGGAGAAGGAGCTTAGACAGCATTGATTGCCCGGTTGCCTAGGGATTAACTGCCCAGGCCAAGATATCAGGAGAGAGGAGAATATGCCTCTTCAGCCTGCTGCTACCGTCTTCACCCAAATAGAACGCCCGGTAGTTATCGCCGTATCTGGACTGAAGGTTGTGCCAAATACAGATATAATGACCGGGCGTTGTATTAGGGTGAAGACGATAGCCGCCTAACAAAACCAAAGCACGTCCTCATCCTGTTGTAATGCTTGTCCTCAGTTCCCATTTTATGTTTCAGGGGTGCTCGAGCCTATTTCCAGCAGGTGCTGGTCCCCACCAATAATAGATGGAGCCTCCAGCCGCAGAACCCACTTAAAGGTGGTGCTCATATGACCCCTTTAAACAGCCAGTACGCGGTCCCAGGCTTGCTGAAAAAGTGCGCCGCTGGCGGTTGGGAAAAGCTTGGCGCGCAGTAAGGCACCTGTGGGTCCGAGTGTGTACTGGTGGTCAAAGTGTGGGGACTGGGACCGGGGTTCAAAAAAGAAGAAGAACGAAAAAAAAAAAAAAAAAAAAAGGGAAGATGGAAAAACCTCTTGCCATTGTATTGTCTTTTTTTTCAATATCGACGATGGGTGGAGTGAGGCCCATCATAGACGTAGCTGAGTGAGGGGGCCTTCCCCTAGTAGGGGTATAATGTCGGTCTGCGGAGGCATCTGTACATGATAGCTGTGCAGTGGCCGAACCCTTTTTTTTTTTCTTTTTTTTCGGGGGGGGGGGAACAAGGCTCCAATCTATTCGTGGGGAGCAGCACGTGCTGGGAACCGGTCCCAGCGTCCCACCCCTGTCACAGATATATCTATTTGTTGGGCAATTTGGACGTCGATTTCGCGGAGGTGCGCCCCGTGGTCTTACAAGCAGAAGCAGGGGCAGACCCCCAATTCTGTGGGAAATTGAACATGGTCACTTTCCCGTATTAAGCCACCAGTACGTTTTGCAGCCATTCTTTCAAAGTCGTGGTGTGCATGGATGCAGCCGCAACGTTCGTGGCTCGGCCTCTGGAGCAAAATGGCTAGCAGCACCAGCCAAAAAGGAGGCCCACACTGGGTCAATTTTTTTTGGCGCTCAGGGCGTTTCCAGCCCCGGAGAAAAGTGCCTCGAAATCGACTTACTCCAAAAAATAAAAATAAAAAAAATCAACATCAACAACAACAAAAACGAAAAAAAAAAAAGTGTCTCGAAATCAACTCCCTCAAAAAAAAAAAAAAAAAAAAAAAAAAAAAACATCAACAACAACAAAAACGAAAAGAAAAGGAAAAAGACATTTTGCACGTGGAAGGATGTTTCTTTTATTGGTCCGATGGACCACGGATCAGATATTAAACTGATCAGAACAGATACTACACTTGATCTTAGCCAAAAGGCCGAGAAAGGTATCACGTGGAAGGATGTTTGACTTAGTCACGCGGAAGGATTTTAGTCTTTTGTCCCTCAAACACTCAGAGGGCATACTCACACCAGGACTTCTTTTGACTTAGTGCCAGTTAGTGGCCCTTTCTGATAGTGTGGTTAGTGGAATGAATCTGGTCATCTAACCTCAAATCAGTACATGTGAGCATGAGCACCAGTAGTTCAGATAATCTCACGAGCTTCTCCGGGTTTCGTGCCTCCTTTCTGAGCCGTCCAGAGGATGCCAGGTGGCAGTCGCTGGCTATATACAGGCTCTGTGCCATCAATGGCGTCATTAGTGACTTGTGAACCTACTGCTGCTTAGAACCGGGGGGGGGGGAGTGAGTGGCAATGAGCCTTTGTGGCTTTTTCTTCTGACATGGGCTCACAGCTGGTGCAGGGTATTAACGGTAGTAGAGTGGGTAGGTAGGGAGATGGACATGGGGGGTGGAGAGAGAAGCCGTTAACAGAGCCCTAAATTTTCAGGAGGGTTTTTTTCAGGGTCTTTATAACAAACCTCCCACACCTTTTAAACCAAACTCGTTACCAGTCCATAGAGTGGACACCAAATAAAACAATGGCAAAGGGGGAAAAAAGAAGAAGTTAAAAGGACCGAAAGAGCCTAAAACCCCAAAAGTGGGGTCCCCTGTTAAGCAATTGTGGGGGGGTGGAAACAGGGGTTATTTGGGAAGTTGCAATTGCTCAAGAGACCCATTGAAACCCTGCCAAATAGGTATGAGAATTTATTTTCCGACTCCTACGCGAGCCTACGGTGCATGGGGCCTGGCGTCTCCTACGTGGGTGTCTGGCATCTCACGACGAGGATCATATGGCGATGTCTCTGTGAACCCCCGGTGTAGAACTGCTCCCAGCCTGTTATGGTCAAGATTTGGTTAAGCAGCTGGAACCTGAGCAAATGCCACAGAGACCCAAATCTTCAGCGTTGACAGGTGTAGGGCTGAGGTGGTTAACGTGTTAGGGTATCTTCGGGCGAACGTGGAAGGCGCTCTCAGGGGCCTGCAACCAACTTTTGCTCGACTTGTTATCAGATCGCAAAAAAGGATATATGTGAAGAAAGGAAAGAAGGAATACTCGCGTTTTCACCCGTCAAGTTGATGCGTTCACTTATCCGTGCTTAGTATTGTTTGTCAGTTCCTTTCCACTGGAAGGCCTTTGAATTTACTGCTGTCTTCTTCGCATCTGGTCGAATTCCATCCTTACTTCAGTCCATTTCACCTTGAAGCTGTCGTTTCCTTTCGAGTGACTGGCTGTGGAGTTGCTGCTGTCCCGCTTCTTGCCTCGTCGAATTCTGTCGTATCAGTCCATTTGACCTTTTCGAGCTGTTTCTCTGAGCTCTGGCTCATCAATTGATTCTCTTGTGTAGCCGGGCCAGGTTGTGACAATGTGTTTCTGTGAGCACCGGCTGGGCAAAGCGTTCTGCGCAGAGTGACTGCGAGTTGCGAGAGTGATCGGAGGGTTAAACCACCAGTACATGGCCCAGCCCAGCTATCGATGCCGAGCCTGAAAACGGGCTGCGCGGCATGTTGTGCCGACCCCCCAGCGCAACAAAAAAAACTTGTTTTGGCTGGCGGCGCCAGCCTTTGAGGGCCAGTACCCTGAGCCTCCGGAAGTTGCGGGGCGTTAAAAGCAACGCCCCACGGCCGATGTATGGGCCAAGTACTGGTGGTTTAAACTGCGGGGCGTTAACGGCAACGCCCCACGGCCGATGTATGGGGCAAGTACTGGTGGTTTAAACCACCAGTACATGGGCACCTGGGCTGTGGGTCTGACATCACAAATTCTGGAGGCGCGAAACGAAAACGGGGCCGCCGATCGAAGTTATCAACGGCGGGCCCAGCGTTTGACGTGTGCACCGAACTCAGGCCTGGAGTTGCTGGAGTGAATTGGCTGGCTTTTGAAGCGGGCGTCGTAATGGTTCAGAAGTTCTGTATGTTTGGATTACTTATGCTGTCCTGATCAATCTGGTGGTTAGATTATCGATCAGGTCCTAAATGTGCTGACATATTTTTTTTATCAGGCAGGTCCTAAATGTGCTGACGTCAATACGAGTCATCACCAGTGATTGGAATCGACCCCAATAGGCCTTTGCTCCACTGCTAAGCATCCGATTTGTATCTGGACTGTATTGTGGCCCAGATCCATTTGACTAACCACACATTTTGAATGTATTAGGGCCACTGGCAACGTCAGATGCGTTCCGAATGTTGTGTAGTGGAGCGAGGCCAGTAATAAAAACATAAAATTTGACCCCCGAAAAGGGCTCGAATCCTAATTTCGGTTTTGTACCCGTTAACCCAAGAGCTGAAAAGTCGTTCGTCCCTGTCGACCACTTGTGATTTGTAGCCCCACCGTTCGGAGTCGCTTGTTTTCCGTGTATCAGGGTGAAGGCCAAATCTAGCTCGCCTCTTCAGGTTCGCGAGATACAAAAGCTGCCGAGTCGGCGGAGCCAGAGTGCACATGTCCATGATGGAGCGTCAGGTGCAGGGCGTGCACTCGCAAGTAGGTTTCGATTGCTGCATTGTCTTTGTCTCTCGCCAACCAAAGCTGCCCAGGCTGTCCCCGCATTCTAGAATGCCGATCTGATTCAGGCACCGCTGTGATTGATTTGACCCGGCTCATGTGGCTGAATGGGTTACACTTTATAGTAGTTTATACACATTTAAACCGCCACTCCAACGGGCCGTGCACTGTTCATTTCTCTTGTCTACCTACAAGTTCTGACCCAAAATCTACAGTGCCCAGGCCCAGTAGAGTCGGTGGGGAAGGGTACGACAGCCTAGGCCACCAGCCGGGCCGCCTGGGTCACCCTGTTTTCTCGGGCGGCACGGCCGTGCGAGGACTAGGGAGGGTCCCAAAAAAAAAAAAAACGAAAAAAAAACTATGCTATGCAGAAAAATAATAAACTGAACAACTCTTGCCTCAGAGTCACATTGAAATTCTCTACTTCTTTTTTTTTTTTTTTTTTTTTTGGCGTGGCCGGGCAAATCGTCCCGGACCACTCTGGTAGCCTAGACGACAACAAATTTTTAATTTTCGGATTTTTTTCCTCACGGCGGCCCTGTAGATTTTTGAGGCTCGGGGAAATCCAACTTTCTGTTTGTGAAAATAGGCCCATATGGACTGGTGGTTTAAGCGCTAGTAAACACGGAACACGGGTTTGAACCTCGAATCCTGCTGGAATCAGATGAGCACAATACAGATTTGTTGGTTGATTTACGAGCTGGTCTGTTTTTCTGTTCTCTGGTTGGTTGATTGGTTGAATCTGGTCGCAGGCGATGATTACGGGCGGAGCGATGGATGTGGAGATGTTCAATAGAGGCATGCAACCACTTGCATACAATATACAGACGAAGAACATGGGTGGTGCATCCAATCGATACTTGGATGGGATTTATCTTCTGTTCACTTACGTGACGAAGCCAGAGAGCATGATTGCCCTCCAGCAGAAAATGAAAGCGGACGACGATGTCATCCGCTTCACGACCTTTCGCTTGAAAATATAAAACGGTTATCGAGTGTAACATAATGAAATGTTTGCTGACGAAAGCGGCTTTTCAGCACTCCGCATTATTTCTATGCCATGTCCCCGAAGGGAAAGCCTCCCTTTTTCTGTCTGTATCCTTTTTCCTTTTCCTTCCTTTCCTTTCATTATTGCCTAGTCGATCGCAGTTCGAACTTCTCCTCCAAGGCCACAGCATCGCTAACCTTCCTCCTGTCTCTACCATTTTCTTCCTGTCCGTCTTCAAGTTGGAAATCCCCCGCGTCTCTTCGCGCCAATCTGTCTGCAGATGAAGTCTTCATGTGCCCCTCCTTAAACCACTAGTACCTTTGTCGGTTTGGAAAATAGTGGGCCTTTTGACCTTTTCCGGAGGCCGAAACGAAACGACGGCCGCCGATCAGATTTATCAACGGCAGCCGTTGCCGGGCCCGTCCTCCAAAAAGTTATACGCTAAAAAACTTGCCGAAACGAGACGGCAAAGCTACTAGTGGTTTAAGTGTTTGAAGTTTGTTTGAAGTTTGTTTGAAGTTTGTTTGAGGTTTGCTTGAAGTTTTATGGAACTTGGAAGTGCCACAATGGCATTCTCTCTTCCCTCCATGGCCTTCCCAGTTCTGGCTTAGGGTATGCCTGATGATAGGCAACCACCTTCCTTGGGTTGGAGGCCCTGGTACCGATCCCGTGTCTATGTTGTTTGACACGGCTTCTATTTCTCTTTTTGTCTTCTGATTTGTCTTCTTAGCAGCAGTTCCCGTTTTTTTGCAGAGTCAAGGTATGTTCACACTAGTACTGACTTAAATGTATCTGACCACATTTAAACCGCCAGTACACGGTCCCAGCGTTGCTGAAAATGCAGCTTGTTGCCTATGAAATTGTCGCAGGCTTGGCCTACTGGACCACGACGGTTGGTGGCGCCAGCCAAAAAAGAAAGAAAGTGCACCACTGGCGGTTTGGAAAAGCTTGGCCCGCAGTGATGCGCCTCCAGGGCCGGGTGTACCGGTGGTGGTTTAAGTGCAAGGAAAATGAGCAAGAGCGTGCAGCAAGTCCAAATTGCAACGTCACATTGAAAGCCAGATGGTTGTGCGCCGTCCAGAAAAAGCAGATTGCACCAAGTTACGCACCAAAAGAAACCAAAGCGAAGAACTCAGTTGTCAATGTCAGCCCAATCTCACCACCATCAACAATGTATCCAATTTCTCTTCTCCGGCTGGCGCTCAGCGCCCAGACTACGATCACACAGCGCCTATACTACCTTCTTCCCCCGAAAAGGATGTACGGTCATTTTGCCTGTGTTTGGGGCAACTGTCAGTCCAGATACAGCAATAATGACCGTACGTTCTATTCGGGGGAAGACGGTAGCCTACACTGAGATGACACAACCGGAAACTTCAGCAGCAGACCTGTGTACGTGTATCCACCGTCCATTTAGACCTCCATGGCACAACCAGGTACGTGCTCTCTCTCTCTCTCTCTCTCTCTCTCTCTCTCTCTCTCTCTCTCTCTCTCTCTCTCTCTCTCTCTCCCTCCCCTTGCTCTCACCCTTGTCTTCCCCGACACGTTGACCCTCTCCCAAGGACAGCCATTGAACCCCACTGGCAACGGGGAGAAGCAGCCTGGCTGGGCTGCACGCCCAGCGCTACATCCAGCAGCGCACCACCACCACCTGTGCGCGCCCCAGTCCTGACGCACAGCGGCTTCCAGCGCATGGACCAGGAGTGCTGCCGCACAATCAGCATGACCAGAATGCCTCCCTGGCTGGCGGACACTTTCCTATATGGAAAGTGTTTCCTTGCCTCTCATTGGCGGTCTGGACTGGAGGCCGAGCTTCCCAGTAGCTTCACATCGGCCCGAAGTGTGTGCGCCCAGGCCAAATTCAGATACTGGCCTGGGACCGAAACGGTTGGGCCACTCCAACTGTGCAACGTGGCCTCTGCCGTTCGCCGCCTTCCCATGGGCTGAAGCCAATGTCTGACTTCGCACACAAGGAGGTTGCTATGTTGTCCTCCTAGAGTTCTTTCTTCCATTGGCTGTAGCCAATCTCTGTAGTCCATTTGGCTGAAGCCAATGTCTGTATTCCATTTTCCCTCTCGTCGATTGCGATGTTGTCCTCCAAGAGCTCTTCTTCCGGCAGAAACTGTTTTTCTTTTTTTTCTTCTTTTTTTTCTTCTTTTTTTCTTCTTTTTTTCTTCTTCTTTTTTTCTTCTTTTTTTCTTTTTTTTTTTCTTTTTTTTTCTAATTGAATGCTGCGGAGCTGCAGCTATGCCGGTTTTACGGTTGGGCTTGGATTTCGAGTGCGCTCTTGGTTCTTTATGTTCTTCCTCATCAGCTATTATGGTGGTTATCTGCCTGCTACCATTTTTCC